AGGAGAGATGTATCAAAGTGATGTCGTATCGCAAGGTTATTATGCCTATGTAATCTGTGATGATAGCTGCTAAGGCTTCTTCCTCTGTATCTATGAATCAGATGACTTTTACATACAGGCGATAGTCAAAGCATAGTTAGTCTGCTTATCCGCATACACTGAATCTAAGTCACCAATAACGACCCTTTGAAGTTTTTTTCAACTTTCAGATCTGCTCTCAACATAAAGCTGTGAAGGCATGTAAGTATACAATGTCATCATTCTTGAATGTTGTATACAAATCTAATTGTTAGAATTTATTTTTAAGTTGTTTACAATCAATTATTTTTTTAGGATTGGTGGAGTGCATGTTGCAGCATATTATCGCAGAGTTTCTGAAGCACTATTAGGAATAGTTCCAAAAACAAAACATTATGACTCCACTCTACTGCGACGTCAAAGATATGCGTGCTCTCCCTGGGGACTATGCTATGCGCAGATAGACAGCTGATTGTCATAAGCGAGAATGAAGCACCTTCAAGATTGGCAGGCAATTTCACTGAGTCGAGGGCAAAGTTGCAGAGTAGTTTTAGAATAGTTTTAGTCATTTTAGTTTTGGAGGTGTAATTCAAGAAGGATACCTGTTTTGAGTAGTATTGGGTGTAGATGCTAATTTAGTTTTAAAAACTTATCACTTATAACATTTTGTTACGCTGTATGACAATTGCAACTTTTTAATGACAATTTCACTGGTTTATTCATAAGTATTCCTACTTATCTTCTAGTTGTATTCAATTGTATTTCAATTGTTATATGCAGCTTGACATCCATTCGGATAATACTTTTCAATCATAATAATAGCAATATTACAGAACACAAACTTCAGAATGTATTAAGCAGGTTGTTACCGTAGTCATATGTATTCAGGTGTACTCAATTAGTTAGTTTAAGTGTATTATTCTGTATTAGCCTAGTTGTATTTAAATATATTAATTATAAGTTTCAGTTGTATGTTGGTGGTGTATTAAATTTACTAAATACTTCATATATATTATTCAGGATACTGTTTTGAGTAGTTTTGGGGTGTAGATGCTAATTTAGTTTTAAAAAACTTATCAACTTATACATTTTTTTGTTCTGTATGACAATTGCAACTTTTCTATCGACAGATTTTTACTGGTTTTTTATATAATATTCCTGCTTATCTTCAGTTGTATTCAATTGTATTCAAGCTAATCCATTCAGATATATCCTTTCATTAATCATTAATACATATTACACGAACACAACTTCAGAGTATACAACAGGTTGTACGGTTAGTCATATGTATTCAGATGTTTCTGAAATTGTATTTAATGTGTATCAATTCAAGTTTAGCTAGTTTGTATTTAAATAAATTATTCAGATGTATTCAGTTGTATTTTGTATATTTAATTTAATATATACTTCATATATATTTATCTGTATACAAATTTTTCAACTAAATGTATTCCAGAAATATTAAAGAAAGTCATTTCAATGTATATTACTTGGCAAAGAGATAGCTGCTAATGTCATCATAAGTATTGACAAATCGTTAACAGCAATCAATACATGTCAGAATAAACTATTATTAACGTGGAGCATTTCTTACACGTTCGCTTGTTATGTCCTCCCTGCCCACATATGCTACATGAATGTTGGTTTTTCGGCTGCAGCAGTTCACTTAAAGTTTCATCGCGCTTCTTCTTTGGCCTTCCAGGAGGTCTTTTTCCATTTGGGTGGTAGTACAACCTCCTCTGCTACATGTTTCTGGTATATTCCAATTCATTTTTGTCGGTAGCGGGTCAACATGGCAGATCGTATGTCATTATAATTGTTACTTGGTTTGTAGTAGTTAGAGCAATATTCATCTGGCATAGAAACTTGACTCTTCAATACAGCCCAAGCATGTGGGCATGGCAATTCCTCAATTTGGAACCTCCCACAAACACATTTTCTCTCTAACAGGCAGACCGTGTAATTCCTCCCACCATCGTTAACCTTATGTAAGTATTCATTTGACGGTACCACCTACATTTAAAAATAGAAATATAAACTTTGAACACATTTAGCTGAATTACCAAATGTATAATGTTGAATTAATAAGTTACATATAACAGAAACATTTGCATATATATGAATACATCATATATATGGACCAGCAAAATGTCATCTGCGAGAAGTGCAGAACGTATCAAAAGTCTGCTGTAGTTTAGCAACAGCATGCTAACAAAAGCATTAATAATCATACGGTATTGACAATACATATAAAATTTACATATTATATAGCTAGTTGCATTCTGATGTATTTCAATAGTTTTTTCAGCATGTAAATTAGTTATATTCAGTTGTATTCATATCAGATCTATGGAAAAATATTGCATGTTACGTGCTTGAATGTAGTTGCATTCATATATATTAATGGTAGTTCTACTTAAAAATGATTGTATTCAGTTGTATTCATGCCAGTAAATTCAGAAATTAACTAAAAATATATACAACAATGAACAGTAAAATTTAACTTACAGTCATACGTGTACACATCTCTCATTCAACTCCAGCATCTCCTGGTATTTTTTCCCAAGCATCTTGTATGTCTGTGTAAGCTTCTTTGCAGTTACTACAATTCCAACGTCCAATATCTCTTCCTAACTTCTTTGAGGAAGTCATATATTGGCAATTCCCTTGCTAGAAACTAGTGGG